ATCTCTGGCTGTTTATTGACTGGTCATATATTAGTAATTTTGCTTCCTGTGTTGCAGTTTCCTTTACCTAAACCATGCCACCAAATGTACAATCATGGAGGGCAGGTGACATCCCCTATCACTACTAGTCTTCAGCAGAAATGTGACTAAGTGGGTTCCTTACCAAGAGACTTACAGTTAGTATTATAGACAGTCAAAGATAATTGAAAATTTAAAGGCACCCTTACTTTTATTACTCTTTATTTTGGTACCACTTATCCAGCGATGTCAAACAAAGACTATGTTTTACTTCTGGCTTCACTTAATCCACAGTTCCATCTAAATCAGCATGCATTTATGTTGCTAACACATGCAGAGTCAGAATTTAACATTAGCCATGGTTATTACCATTTTATACATTGTAGACAACTAAATCATTAAGAAATAGTGGGCCAAGTGTGGTGGCTCATGCCTGTAATTCCTGCACTTTGGGAGGCCGAGGTGAGGGGATCACTTGAGGTCAGGAGTTCAAGACTAGCTTGGCCAACATGATGCTACCTCATGTCTTCTAAAAATACAAAAATCAGCTGGGCATAGTGGTGCATGCTTGTGGTCTCAGCTACTTGGGAGGCTGAGACACGAGACTTGCTTGAACCCTGGAGGTTGCAGTAAGCCGAGATCATGCCACTGGACTCCAGCATGGGCAACAGACTGAGATTCCATCTCAAAAAAAAAAAGTAGTGGAATGACCCAGTAAATCAATCATATTTTTGGAGAGTGTACTATCATATAGTGATAACTCAGTTTCCTTTTCTGTAAAATGGGGATACTTTTTTCAGGAAAATTACATAGGGCTGAGGTGAATATTAAATAAGTTCATATACATGAAGCACTTAATGACTGGCATATGAGCATTATATAACTGTTATTATCTTATTAGTGATATATTACAATTATGTCCAAAAGAGCTTTTATTGGCAAAGTACTTCTATGTATGTTTCAAGTGAAAATGGGATTATAAACACAATATTATCTCAGCCATGTAAAATATTATTAATAGTAGGATATAATATAATTTTAACCATGGTTATCTCTAGTTATTGTATTCTTTCTTCAGCTTCTCCGTATTTTATATGTTTTCATCCATTGTGTTTTATGATTGTTAAAAACGTGATTTTTAAGTGTCAATAGTTCCCATATAGGGTTCAAGAATGAATCTTATCTAAAAGAAGTGATCTGATGTTTGTAAGTATGGTCAATGGTCAGGCAAATTCAGATACAAATAAAAAGAGGAAAAACCCGTCAGTATAGGCAAACGTAGATTTACAGCATAATGTAGTTCTCTCTAGCTTCATGTCCCAACCCCACTAGTTACTGGACAGTTGGTCTTAGGTAACCCACTCAAGCTCTTAGAAGTTCATCTGTGAAATGAGAATAAGGTCATTTGTTCCGTGGACCTTGTAATGTGGTAGAAAAGACTGAATGAGAAAATAATCGTGAAAGTGCTTTATGAATAGTATCTAAATATATACACAATTATTTCAGCTCTTTTGCGTTTGTAGAACTTTGAATGAACTTTCAGATATGAATAGTATTAACTAAAGATATTTGCTGAAAAGTTTTTAAAAAAGCATGAAGTACGATTTAATAATTATGAAAATAGATTTATCTAAGAATGTATCTTAGGCTGAAGCCAAAGCTGCATTCCCCACTAGGTTCAGACATTTGGGGAGTCCCAATTATATAGCCCAGAGTCCAATTTATTTTACAAGAAAAGAGAGTCAAGTAGACATTCTTAGGTCAGTAAATAATACTCTTGATTTAGGAGGGTAATGGTGATTTTTTTCATGCCTCAGGCATCAAAAACAATTGTCTCCTAGTCCAGCCCTCTTTCTCGCTTTCTGTTATTCATATTTAGTTTGTTGCAATGAAGTGAGTTACTCAGAATGAATGGGGATACCCATGTATGCCTACATTGACTGTGTGGACAGCGAAGTCTTCCCTAATACTGGAGCTGAGCAACAGAATTAGTACTGCTGTTTAGGTTTACAGTTTTAGCACAAAACTGGGAATCTGCTTAACCTTTTATTTATAGTTAGCCAAGTGCATCTTTTTCAGGTTCTGTTTTTCCTTATAAAGTAATGGATTCTTATGATGTCACATGAAATGAGATATATCAAAATGACTTTTGAAAATACTTAACTTGAAGAAACAGGGTATTTTTATAGCCTTGAGATATCTCTCCCAAAATAGTTGTTAATTACTAGGGTGGCTTTAACATAAGCCCACAAATTCTTTGCTGTTGCTTCCTCTGCAAGGCAAAACCTAATTCCCCTGACCTAGAGTGTGGGCTGGACAGTGATGGGGTTCACACGCACTACTCCAAAATATGGCATCTTGGCATTTCAGAAAACAGTAGAATCAGGAAGATCACCTGCTGACTGTCTCCTGCCTTCCTCCTTGGGAGGCTGAAATGGGAGGATTCCTTGAGCCGGGAGTTTGAGGATGCAGTGAGCCGTGATTGTGCCACTGCACTCTAGCGTGGGCTACAGAGCAAGACCTTGTCTTTAAAAAAAAAAAAAATTCTGACCTTCCCTTGAAGTAGACCATAAGACTCACATGTCAGAGGTGGCTACCCTTTCTTCTGAGAAGAGGAACACCCTTACCTCTGAAGACACAGCGACACAGAAAAGAATCTGACCAAACAGACCTTGTGATGCTTCCCCCAGTTGGTCACTGTTAGGTCATACTTCCATACTAATCAGACTTCCTTGCAACTATCCACTTACCTGTTCCTCAAACTTAGCATAACACTTGCTGGCTGACCTGTTTCTTTGGAATTTCATCTCTGAAGGCACTAAAACTTAGATTAATGTCACCTAAAACTTACATTAAATACATTTTATGTATGCTTTTCTCTTGTGGAACTGTAAATCCTGTTAAACCTCTTTTTGTTCCCAGTTTTGGGTATCTTTATCAGCAGTATGAAAACGAACTAATATACCCCATATCTGGGAATTCTCATACTACGTTTATATCATTAAGTTTATTGGAGTAACATTCAGATAACCGCGTATGGCATCGTGGAGGAAGGGCAAACCCTGAGCACTTTCTTAAGCCACCTTTCTCATGAACACATTATAATTTCACTGCCTGCTAGTCATCTACCACTTGTGAAGTAGTGGTAAAGATCAGATCCTTTTACCACTGCATAGAGTTTGAGGCTCTCAGGCAAAATGACTCAAATGCCGCACCTGCTGGGTCACAGAGCACATTTGTTATTTTCTCAAGTACCAATAACACTTTTGAAGGAAAGGAGTTGGTGCAGTCATGCAAAGCGATGTATGGATTTACCCTCTTGTGCTGAACACCATGAAATGCTTTTCTTTAAACAAGTTGGTTTTCTGATCTTACAGAGATACTGTCATTCTGTGAAAGGGGGAAGATTGTGAAGGCTCATTTAAAAGACCACCCTTCTCACCTTGATCTTCTGAACACTATGACTCTTGAATGTCATCTCTCCTTGTCTTTTACCCCTGTCTTTCTTTGTGGGACCTGATTGCTCCTTCTCTGTGTGTTTATATTGCATAGCTCATTCTAGCTGACACATTTTGTTAGTGTTATCGGAGAGATTAGAAGGAGTAAAATCACTGAGAGTGTTGTTTCTCATTCTTCCAGGTCAACAGGCTTACTTTCAAAGATAGCACTCCTTGATTGCTCTGCTTGGGACATAATTGATCAGAATCAAGTTTGCAGTTTATTCTACATCTGACTTGTTAATTTAACTCACAGTGTACTGATTTTATATGCAGTGTTGGTTCATATCTTGGGGCTCAGTATCTAACATATATATTACACTGTCAAGAGGCAGGCAATAGGAGAATGAATGCTTTATAATTTGATCATCTGAGCCATTTAAACTAATATCTGTACCTTTTGAATCAACTGAAAATATACTGTGATAATTATTCTCACACTGATTGTTAACTAAGTGTTGTTTTGAGGTTAGAATTATGAAAATAATTTCTAGTAAGGCCCCCATTTACAAGTCCTATCCCTATAAATAAAACAAAAAAAGCCAGGAAAAATAAAAAACTCCTACCTCTATTATAGTTGTATGGTCTCTACATAGCACATTATCTCTTTTTTCCCATTTGGGGGCACTCATATGAGATTGTAGGCATTCTTCAACCAAGAAGCAACTTTACCAACTCTATTAAAATTGCCACTTTTTTAACATATGGTGAAAAACAAGATAATATTTATTAACATCAAAATATAATGAGCTGGTAAATATCTTTCCTACAGATCTAAGTGCACAAAATATAAGGCCGCAAAATAAAAGACCTAGATAATATAATTTTTTCTTTTTTCCAAGTTAAACATAGCATATTGAGCAAATGATCACAGTGTATACCCAAGTTAGTTTATACATGTTTCACAATCTGTCCTATATGATTTAGAAAGCCAGGGCATCACATTTGCTATTTTAAATATTTATTGTTCTGCTGTAGCATACACTGTTTATCCAAATTATTTAGACACCTCTACTTTAACAAGCTATAACTCATAGATCCTACTTAGCACAGATATAAGGAACTTGAGTGAGAGCTGGTGATACCGCTCAGAAAAGCTGTCTCAGGATGTCATATGATTCTTGCTTTACAAATCAAAGTGTTCGTCCTTCATGATAAAAACATTATTTAAAATATCAGAATACTTTATTCTTTGAGTTGCAATACACTCATAACTTTGTGAAAGATTCAAAATTGATTATTTAAATATTATGTGTAAACTTGATATGCTTCTAAAGACAGAGAATTGTAGTAAAAATTACCATATTTTGGATTGGTAATTTTAAAAAGTACTAAATTACTTTGACTTTTAAATAATTTAATGTGATAAGGTAGAAGGCTTTTCCACGATATCTGATACATTTGTGGGTTCTGTGTCTATGAAAATGCAGAAGAGCCAAATGCGGGGGCATGCAACTGTGGTCGCAGCGACTCAGGAGGCTGAAGTGGACCTGTACAAGAAGGGATGGAGAATTGAAACCTCCTTTTTATAAAGCATGTAATCTTTGAAGGGTTACATCTTCCGTTAACGGGTAGAATAGAAAAAAATCCAATCAGCAAAGGCAGATGGCAAGGAAATTTGTCTTGGCAAAAGCTTCTCTTGAGGAATTTGCCTTCACTTTAGGCTTTTGTTCTTCCCATGGATAAAATCTTCTAAAACATGAGTTCACAACCTCCAAATCATAGAAATATACAACGAATATGTAACCATAAGCCGAAGTCAGCAGAAACAATAAGCAGTTGGTATGGTTAGGTTTTGTGTCCCCACCCAAATCTCATTTTGAATTGTAATCTCCATGATCCCCATGTGTGAAAGGAGAGACCAGGTAGAGGTAGTTGAATCATGGGGGGTGAGGGGGTTTCCCCCATGCTGTTCTTGTGGTAGTGAGTTCTCACGAGATCTGATGGTTTTATAAGGGGCTCTTTCCCCTTCGCTCAGCGCTTATCCTTCCTGATGCCTTGTGAAGAAGGGGCCTTGCTTCCTTTTCACCTTCTGCCTTGATTGTAAGTTTCCCAAGACCTTCCCAGCCATGGTGAACTGCGAGTCAGTTAAACCTCTTCTTTTATAAATTACACAGTCTTGGGCAGTTTTTTAATAGTAGTCTGAAAATGGACTAATACAGCAGTTCAGTTAGTTCTCAATATCTTTAGAAATGAGATTACTGATTGCAGAATATCAAATGGCTATGTTTTAAACATTTAAGAAATAGAACCTGCATAAAAACATAGTAAAGTTAGTAAAAGATTAAGATGCTGCCAGAAAAGGCTGGGCAGACTTGAGAAAGAACAAGTAGACCTCTAAAAATGAAAATTTTAATTATTTAAAAAGTTCTGTAAGTTTAAGGTGTAAAGTGCAGTTTGTTACATATTACGTAGTGGTGCAGAGTCTGGTCTTTTAGCGTAGCGATCACCCAAATAATGTACATCGTACCTATTAATTTCTCACCCCTCACCTGCCTCCCACCTTTCCAAGTCTCTAGTTTCTATTATTCCACACTTCATGTCCATGTGTGCACATTATCTATCTTCCAGTTATAAGTGAAAACATGAGTATTTGGCTTTCTTGTTTCATTTGAGATAACCACCTCTAATTCTATCCATGTTGCTGCAATAGACATGATTTTATTCTTTTTTTTTTTTAATGGGTTAATGGATTATCATGAGAGTGGGGCTGGTGGCTGTGTAAGAAGAGAGACCTGAGCTAGCACAGTCAGCCCCCTGCTCATGTGATCCGCAGCAGCACCTCGTGACCCTGCAGAAAGTCCTCACCAGTTGTGGCCCCTTGATCTTGAACTTCTTAGCCTCTATAACTTTAAGAAACAAATTTCTTTTCTTTGTAAATTGCCCAGTTTTAGGTATTCTGTTATATGCAACAGGAAATAGATTAAAACACATATTTTGAGTTCAGAATTTCTGTATTGGCATTTTCCTCCTCTCTGTTGCCTCTTAGCATTTTTTCCCACACCTCAGGACTCAAAACCAAGGGAATAGTCCTGCACACAGTTGTTTTTGAATAAACACAGCAATTGATCCTTCTGGTCCTATAGCTTGAAACTTAACATTTGTTTTGTCTGAGTTCCTTAAAGAAAGTCCTCTGGAAAGGACTTTCAGGCCTCCTAGGAAAGTATCAAAAGAATCAAAAAGTACGCAAAGGACATGAATAGGCCTTTCTCAAAAGAAGATATGCAAATGACCAGTAAACATATGAAAAAACGCTCATCATCACTAATGATCAGGGAAATGCAAATCAAAACCTCAATGCAATACCACCTTACACCTGCAAGAATGGCCATAATAGAAAAATAATAGATGTTGGCGTGGAGGCAGTAAAAACAGAACTTTTACACTGCTGGTGGGAATATAAACTAGTACAACCACTATGGAAAACAGTGTGGAGATTCCTTAAAGAACTAAGAGTAAGGGTACCATTTGATCCAGCAATCCCACTACTGGGTATCTACCCAGAGGAAAAGAAGTCATTAGGCGAAAAAGATACTTGCACATGCATGTTCGTGGCAGCACAATTCGCAATTGCAAAAATACGGAACCAGCCTAAATGCTCATCAGTCAACGAGTACATAAAGAATTGTGAAAGGTAGGGGTGTGTGTGTGTGTGTGTGTGTGTATGTATGATAGAGTACTACTCAGCCATAAGAAGGAATGAATTAATGGCATTTGCAGCAACCTGGGTAGAACTGGAGATTATTACCCTAAGTGAAGTAAGTCGGAAATGGAAAACCAAACACTATGTGAAGTTCTCACTCATAAATGGGAGCTAAGCTATGAGGATGCAGAAGCATAAAAGTGATACAGTGGATTTTGGGGACTCGGGAAAGGATGGGAGGGGAGTGAGGGATAAAAGACTATAAATTGGATTTGGTGTATACTATTGAGGTGATGAGTTCATCAAGATCTCACAAATCAGCACTAAAGAACTTATTCATGTAGCCAAATACCACCTATTCCCCAAAAACCTATGAAAATTAAAAATATATAAAATAAAATATCATATTTAAAATTAAAGAGAGAAAGAACTGAAACTCACCAGATCACTACATTCAGACAGTAAGATGCCGGACCCCTCATCCACTATGATTGCTTCCTTGCCCCTCCCTAGTTCCCATGTTCTTTACACATTGTTTCATTTCTTCCCTGCTATAAAACCCCGTAGTTTTGGTCAGCCAAGGAGACTGATTTGAGACTGAGTTCCTGCCTCCTTGGCTGTAGCGCCTGACTAAAGCCTTCTTTCTTGGCAGTAATCACCATCTCAGTGATTGGCTTTCTGCGCAGTGAGCAGCAGGACCAAGACTGAACCCCTGGTGTTTCTGTAACATTAATATAAGTACTGATTTTTCACCTAACTAGTTACATTCTTCAATCTGTCCTAAAAAAAGAATTCAAACAATTGGTCATTATTTTAGCTTAACTAGCTTTTAAATCAGTTGTCATGAAACATGACTTGGAAAAAAAAAAAAAAACCTGGTAAAGATATTTATTTAACATAAATATTTTCCTTGCATCTTAAAATACTAGTATTTAAATCTAACAAACTGTGTGTATACAGGCATGTGTAAAACTTACTTATTTTAGGAATAGAGAACATCTATATTTGCCTTGAAACTCCCTTAAAATAGTTAGTTTACAGAACTATTTAGCCTCACTTTCCATGCCATTGAACTCAGTGTTAAAATTATGATTGAGACGCCCTATAATGCAAATAGAAATGTCCTGAGGTCATTGTGTAATTTTATAGGGGTCTTCACCAAACCAAGGAAGAAGGCAGTAAGCTTTATAGCATGATTAACTCAAAGATAGGTGGCCTTTGTGTGAAGTGGGTCGAAATGTGCCTCTCTCTGTAGGCACACAATGTATGGAATAGGCATTTCATTATGTTCATATCTACCTATATTTTTCCTTTGATCACTGCATATGTTCGATTAAACAGAATGAAAATCTACAAAAGTAAAAATATGTATTAAAAAAAGTAGCAGCAGTAAAGCAATGTCTTGCAGCTTTTTACTTTGAGTCCCAATGGATTTGTGATTTTACTTTACTTTAGAAATGACAGTATAATGATGATTATTGCTCCTTTGGGACTGATAAGAAAAGAAATGGTAACCAATTATATTAATCATTAGTATTCTTCGTTATAAGTAGTATGGGAAGCTTGTGGAGCTAGAAGAATGTGGCCTGAATGTATCTTTAAACAAGCAAATTATCTTTCAGTATTGGCAAAAATTGTAGTTTGTCTGCCTTAAAAAAATAAAACCTTCATACATAATTTAGCTTGTCTGTCATTTTAAACATTTCAGGAGGCATAGCCCCATGGTCTAGGCCCATTTTTTTTTTTTTTCAAGAGATGCTTCATTGGTTCCTGTGTGAAACTGTTGACATTTGTATTACACTCTGAATACTTAAGAAAGCAGAGGATTCTAGTTGTTTTGGGATTAACCAGTGGTATCTCATCTACTAGTCAGGCATTCACAACATTCTGTGCACATGCTGAATTTGTGCTAATGTCTTCTTTCCATAGATAGATAGATTTTGTTGATGTGACTGTCTATATATTTTTCATATGTGGCCCAGTCCTCATTCCCATGTAGCCGCCCTCCTTCCCCACATGTGTTGCTTTATGTCAAATAGCTTGGAAAAGAAACAGTCCTGAAACTGTGCTTTGGTCTCTAAGTAGAATAACCAACACATCCCGCAGTTTCTCAGTGAATGGCTGTAACAGTAGAGGAGATTATTCATGATCATGATGAAATAACTTTTCCTGACCTGTTTAAGCTTCCTTCTTTAGTGTTTTCATAGTTGCTCTTACGTCTGTCTACTCTAACACATATAAAACACAGAAAACTGAGCAGTCTCGTGGCCTCACTTAACAAACCAATCCAACAGTGAGGGCTATGAAGAAATTGTTAAAGGAAAAAAATTCATGATACTTGTTAAAGATAGAATTTATGGATGGGGGGCTACTGCCATGAGGTTTTGTAGTGGGGTAGAAAGATCAGATTCAACTGGGAATATATCAAGAACAAGTAGAGATTTATAGCCAAGGATATGGATGGGGCTCAGTGTATGGAAACTTACTAAGAAGAGACATCAGGGGTAACAGGGTTTTTGGCCAGACCAACTTGATAGGATTACTGCTGGAGGCAGGCCAAGGTGGTAAGACACTGAAGGCAGGGATTAAGGAAGTTGACCAGGTATCAAAGGTAGTCAGATAAAAGGTTGGGGAGAAGGAATTTGATTAGATATTCACGATGAGGGACTTTTCCTCAACTGACTCAGTATTACTAATTATTGCTAAAACTAGACTGAAGGAGCCAAGGACAGAAGCCAAGGTCAGGGACCTTGTCACAATGAGGGCTCAGAGAAGCCTGACATAAGTCTGGTCAAGGGAAAGAATTATCAAAAGACAGAATTACAACAAATGTAACTTAAAGATCTTCACTGGCTTTTATTTGCAATTTTAGAATCAAGCAATGCCTCATTCTATAAAATAGAATGAGTGTTTTGATGAGCTGGAGCAGAGGAGGTTGGCTTTATGACCAAAAATGGCTGTGGAAAACAAAAACACACTGCAAAAATGGGATTGGTCGTTTCAAAGTTATTTTCCTTATAAAAGTTAAAGCATAGGGGACTTCTGTATTATGTCAGCTAAAATTGGCCTATTTGGAGATTTGGCTATCATCTCTCTCCTGGTTTCTCAGAAGGTCAGATGAACAATTTACTGTCAGCTTGGTGGCTTGGTACTTTCAGCACGAGGGACTGCATTTTGATTTGGTCCCTTGGGCTTAGTGGGAACTCAGCCCAAACCAATAGCCTCCTAAATTTTATTTCACCGTCTTTGTCAGAATAAAGATATTTACTCTTGATTTTCTTGAAGAGGATAACGTCACTTTTTAAGATTCACCTCACAGCAAAACTTTGTAAAAGCCCTCTTCAGATATCTCCTCCTCAGCCCAAAGTTTGCAGTCATGGGAACTGCTAAAACTATGCCCACAGGCTGGGCGCAGTGGCTCACACCTGTAATCCCAGCACTTTGGGAGACCCAGGTGGGTGGATCAGGAGGTCAGGAGATCTAGAGCATCCTAGCCAACATGGTGAAACCCCATCTCTACTAAAATACAAAAAATTGGCTGAGCCTTGTGGCAGGTGCCTGTAGTCCCACCTAGTCAAGAGGCTGAGGCAGGAGAATCGCTTAAAACTGGGAGGCAGGGGCTGCAGTGAGCCAAGATTGCACCACTGCACTCCAGCCTGGTGACAGAGTGAGACTCCCTCTCAAAAAAAAAAAAAAAAAAAAATATATATATATATATATATATATGTCCCCACAGGCCCCATGTCACTGTGCCATTTCCTTGTTACCATTCCCTTCTTCTTTCTGTCCCTCCTGCAACAATGCCTCCTTGGACACAGGATCATTCCTGCTCTAGGCTTTTCACTGAGATGATCAGCTCTCCTGGGATTCTAGCGAATAAAATGCTTCATCTCAACAAACAGATATGTTTGTTTATATTCTCCCCTTTTCCACGTGGTGGGAGGAAAAGCTTTTTCACTGCATTCTTCAATTCAGTGCCTGGGGACCAGTGAATTAGAATAACAAAAGATTAACAGGATAAAAGTTACACAATTTTTATTAATATTTACATACTTGGGCGTTCACAGAAAAGGAAATCAAAAAATGTGGTTAGTCTCAGGGTGTTCTATCATTCAAACGTAGGACAGTGGGGAATTGGGCTTCAAGGGGCCATAAATTGTGGGGAAGTGACTAGGAATATGAGGGAAACTAATGGAAATTAGGATTATTTTAGTAAGCATTGCTTACGCAGTCTCTTCTCGGTGCCATCTCCTAACCTTGTGATAACTTGCCATAAGAGTTGCTCTCCTTTCTGTGGTGCAGAAGTGGGGAACACCTTCACAAGGAAATTTCTGCACTGCTTTTAAGCAGATAAGGGAGGGCAGAGAACTCTTCCTACATCTATTCATTCTCACATGCCTTCAGCTCAAAATAGTCCTTGTGCTTGAGCAGCATGTTTTAGAGTAGTATATCCTTATCCCCTTTATCCACGAAAGATTTAAGGTGACTTTTGCAGATGCAATTAAGCTAAACTTAATGATATATGAGAAATATGAAACTGTGGCTCAAAAAGTCAGAAGCAATCACTGATGTTAGTAGTTGGAGATGGACTGTGAATATGTCTTGAGCTTTCCAGCAACCAGCACAGAGATGCACATATATATACACACACATATATA